TGACCAGGCGAAGAGGTAGACGGGCATTCAGAGATGACGCTGCGGAAGTCGCCGGTGAAGACCGATGTTCACGCGCCTCAAATAATATTTATTAGTATTTGCTCGAATCGGCTATCTAATGTAAACTGTGAAAGGTGCCGCATTTAGCTGTAAAGTTATAAAAATAATGATTTATTTTGCTTCTCATGCTGTTAAACAGACCTCAGAGACGAATACGTATCCGTACTGTTCTCAGAAAATGTTTACATACCACAATTGAAGACATTGGTTTTCAACCTTCTAAAACGTAGTACTTCTCTCGTATTACTAAAATTTTAATGTACACCCCCCTTAGATTACAATAATGGATTTCAAATATTATCTCGCTAAATTATTTTGAAGTGTTTAATTTAATGAAACGATTATTTTCAACGTACGTATTAAATACTTCTAAGAAATAAATGGGCTCTAACTTAATTTTTAATTCACGTAGTAAGTACAACAATGTGGAAGAAATTTATCTTTACTGCCCATCACAACAAAATGTTAGTGAGAGAATGTTCATTGCTTGAAGAATAACCCAGCATTTTCCGTTAGTGATGTTTTCAAAAGAATAGATATTAACCTCGCCATGAATAATCATCATAACGTATAATTGCAGCAACTAAGATTGAATAGTTTCAACTTGTTCAGAGATGTTGAATCACTGACATTTTCGTATAAATGTCTTAGCATTATTCTGATTCTCCGTCAGGTAACTCCCTATGAAACTAATTCTGCAAGACGAAACATGTAAGGGGCTGGCTGATCGAAGATCCATTTTCTTCCAAAACTGGGAATTCGGAAGTTACTCGGATTACTTTAAACCGATTCCTTCTTCCTAAAAGGCTTCCGCGAACCGCTTGGGATTCGCGTCCCAGTTCACGAATGCCGCGTTCAAGACCAATGGTTTCCAAAACTCTGTTTCGTTTCACGTCGTGATGGTGCCAAAGCCTGCTTTCTAATCTGATTTTTCTCGCACCTAAACACAATTAAAATAATTATTTTACTACGCCCTTTCCAATAATATTATCTCTGTTTCCAACTTCGTAAACGCCTACAAATAAAACGAAACCAAGCAGCCTGTGGCCATGTGAAAGATGTCGACGTTCAATACCTTGGAGCTTGTGAAAAATACACAAACTTTATATTTCGACTAAAATGCAGAATACAACGCCGGAAAAATCCCGGATTTTGTTCTTTTTACTCGGTATACCTGGCAACATCCACAGATGTGGCTGCTGAACACGGTAAATTTTAATAAACAACAATCGCTTTTTGCCAAAACAGCCAGAGAGAGGCCTTCATGCACATATAACGCCAAATAAGCGTTTATGATGTCTTTTCTATGAAAATAAATTGGTTTTATTTACAATAAAAGTTGATTTTAAGAATAAAGTAATGATGCATTTTTCTTAAAGTTTATATATGATGTAATGTAGCACACTGATAACATTCTCAGAGCATATAAAAACTCCCTCAGGGGTGCTGAACTAAATGTATGAACATTTTTTTAGATCAATCACAATCTTTCTTCCATGCAAGTACAACCGGTTTGAAAAATATCTTTTTATTACACTTTTCATTTTAGCCACAGTTTTCACATGTAAATGATCTCATATGGAAGATAATTAAATTTTCCAACAACAAACAACTTGTATATCCAATATATGCAAATGGACGTTATCATCACGGAAAATAATTTAATATAATGATTATATTTATGAGCAACGTAATTTATATTAACCCCCAGAGATGGAGGGCAATTGCTCCAAACAAGAACCTATGTGAACAGTATGCTACAATAAACTAAATCTCTTACTCAAACTGAAATGTTTAGTAATTAGCACTCGCGCAAAGAATTTTCTCCACATATTAAAAATGCATATCAGCACTTAATAAGGAAATGAAAATTAACAATTTCACAGTTAAAATAATGGTTCATTCACTAGGTAATTTGCAATTTAAATTCTACAATCACTAATTGCTATAATTATGAAAGTGGTTCATCTTTGTACAACTTCGCTACACAAGAAATTGATTACCCACATTTAAATCTGAAAATCTTATCATATTCAAACATTTTCTCATCGTAAACAATTGCAAAACTAGTATGAAATTAGGAGTTGGCAAACCATTTTAATTAAACCACAGTATTTATTTACAAATCAACAAAACCTCAAAAACCAGCAAAAAACAAAATACTGAGGAGGGTTCTAAAATGAGAAGAAAGAGATCGCTAAAATCGCCGTAATTAAAAGAATGGAAATTGTTACAAATGATGCAAAAAGTCAAAATAGTATTTTCATATAATTTTTGTTAAAATTATAAATTTAATTTGAGAATGATAGAATTTTTTTCAATAATATTTGCCCATACCATTGTTCACTTCAGAATGTATTAATATAATTTGAGTTTAGAACTTAATTCTTTATGTATCCACAATTTAGTGCAGCGTATAATAATATTTTCGATGTAATATCGAAGAAAAATTTACAAAGCTGTAAGGAATCTATTTACAAGGAGCTTATTATTTACCTCAAAGAGTGTTAGATAATTTTCTTGATGAATTTAGAAGAATATAATAGAGACAAGAAATAGTTTAGTCTCAGCAAGAAAGAATAAATAAATAAATAAATAAAAAATTAGCACCACTGTAATGTCCCTGAACATCACTGTAATATTGATTTAATTTGCAATGGAAAATCTGCCTGTTTTCCAAGATATCTTAATGCAATCAGGATTTCCTTTCAAGAAATAAGTATTCAATATTATATATTTAGAACTATTATGCTAATGTTCATTTTACTTGACAGAAGATGCACGTTTGCAGAAATACATCACATTTAAATAAAATAACTACAACTTTAGAAATTAGTCACAAAATAAAGAACTGTTTAAATTTATATTAAAGAACATGGTGTTGATAACAACACCAATACATATGTTGATTGAATGCTAAAGTTTCAAAAATTATTATAATGATGTTTAAGTAGAGAAGAACTGTACATAACTTCAACAATGTATCCTCCAATACATCTAAGCAAATATTCGCACTGCACAACTACAAAACACATAACTGCAACTACAAAATGCATTTTGTTCACTTTTATAAGCACACAACATTTATCACTTATATAAGTATAAGCGTAAATTTCACTATATAGTAACATCATACATAATATATTACTAACATACATAAAAAAGAATTAATGTTTTGCTTTTTGATACACCAAACATAACAATGCACATTCTTCATACACTGTATTGATTTTGAAACATAACCTCACATTTTCATGTGTTCTTCTGAAGAGCTTATATCCACAATAAACACCCCATCACCCCACCATACCGATCTAAACGAATAAACATATTTAGGCTGAGGTTTTAAATAATAACTCGCACTTACCTGATATTTAGTACCTCCTGCATTCTGCTCCTTCACATTCTTGATGTTCAAAATTAGGACGTTCTGCTCCACCGGATTCCACAAATATAACACATCGCCTTTGCAGTCAATAATATTTTGAGTTTTTGTATTAATACTTCCTAATCCATCTCGCAATATTTCAAAAATTCTATGATTTGTGAGGCCCAAATTATCTGTTCCAACACCCATGTTTGTTTTCATATTGAATCTTGCTCGAAGGGTCAGGTAGAACAACCAAACAGAATAAAATCCGGAAACGGTAAGTTGGCATAACTGATTTATGCCGGGAATTCAAACACTGCAAAGGATTTCAGACGTATAACTGATGATATTTTATAATTTGAGAGGTTACATTTCGAAGTAAGAAAAAGTAATAAAAATAATAAAATATAATATAGAATAAATAAGAATAATTGCTCAATCAACTTAAAGGTAATAATGTTCATTTGGGGCTTAACAAGGAAAAGAAATTGGTAGCAAATGTGATAGTTTCAATTACTGTTAAGTTTTCCTATATTATAAATAAATTTGCATCTAATATACGAAATTATAATAGTTATTCACTGATAACATCTTTAATTAAGAATTATAAGTTTAAATCCGTAGCAGATCCAAGGGCCATGGCCTTCCACAAGACCAACTTTTTGGTGATTTTCTTCAATTTACTGAAATAAATTCCCACAATGATCTCATTGCAGCCAACACATTATGAATATACTCTTATATTTTTTAGTTCATGTTAATAACAAAAATAATTAATTTCAAAAGTATTATGCGGTGTATTGTGCCCGAAGTACTTACTGGATCAGATATTGGTTTAAAAATATAGTATAAAAGCAAAGCATTACACGTCATAATACAGATAAATTTAGTTAATATGAATAATTTATTATTTTATTTTGTGTAATCATTTGAAAGTTTTAAGAATTTTTGTTGAAAAATATTCCAATTTTGAAACAATATTAAAAATCTTTTTGGAAATTCTTAATTTAAATAATAATTTCCATGATGGCCATATGCTATCTCATTTATTTTCTTTTATAGTGTCATTACTTCTGCATTTTCATGCACAACATTACATTTATTACATTTTATTTTTTAATTTCTTCAGAATCAGTCCAAACTTACTGACAGCAAATTACTTTTCTTATTTTAAGAGGAAATCAATTATCACTTCCTCTGCAAATTCTTTCTCCAGAATTAAAAGAATTGGAAATTTAATGTTTATTTGCTTTGGCGTAAAATATCAGAAAAGAAAAAAAGAACTCAGAATGATTTTGATTTTAATTAGAACTCAACATAAAACCATACATTTCATTTTAATTTACCTTGTCTTATTTTAAATTAAATCATAATAGTAATTGTATTACAAGTTATCATCAGCAATCTGATTGTTATAGACTTCTCTTTAGAAAAAACATATTTGTAATTTTCAAAGACAGTGCCACATGTGTTTTTATCACAGAGCTAAGAACATTAGTGTTTAGAAATTAGGAAATCACTGGCAAGTAGAATATATTTATTTTAAAGTGGATCCTGTTATGAGATTAGCCATATTAAAAAATCCCCAATTTAAAATAAATCATATTTAAAACATTTTTGTTTCACTACTAACACTTACAATTCATTGCTGCGCCATTGTAAAAACATTTTTTACTTTTATATCCTAGTTTTCCCACACATTATAATTTTGAACTGCCTTAGCCTATCTCAAGAAAACTGACACAATTATAAAGAAAGAACTATTGTTCTGTTAATTATTTGTATAGTTATTTAAATGTATAATTATTATTTAATAAAGAAGTCTTTTCAATATCTCTGATATTTAACAATTCTTTCTGCTTCTAAATTCTTATACCTTGAACATTCAAAATATTAGCGTATAATTTTGTGAACTGAATAATGGTTTCCAGTTCTCTAATATTAATTCCATAACAACTCCTTGCGTGATTATTCGAGACGAACACACCGCGCGACGACTAACCGCAACTCGGCGGCCGGAGCCTCTGAAGTGGCGTAATGTGATTAACGGCATCTAATGAGTGTGCCAGAGGAAATGAGTGAGGACCGCACCAGGTACATTGAGTCGTGTCCTTGCGCCTCGCGTCTTTAATCCCAGAGCCCTAACACCCCACATCTCAACACATTCATATACGCACGCATCCGCATCTGTCTACTCTCTAGCGTGTCGCCGGGTTTCGGTTTTAATAACATTTTTTCTCTGTTTCTCTCCCTATATAGGAGACCACCCGCCGATCAATCTTGTGCTGAAATTTAATACAATGCACAAAGACTAGCATTAAAGTAGCTTAATTGGTAATCCTACAATCGATCTTCAACTTTTTAATATGCACAGGGAGAAGTACTATATATAGAGGTCGCTGAGGAGGGAATGCGCGGCTGGTGCTGAAAAGGGGAAACGCAGAGGGATTTTTGCGTGGGAGAGTGATATTGCGTGGTAGAAATAAAACAACGTAAGCTAATCAAAGGTAATATTACGCTTCGCATCTCCAGGAAACAGAAAGTATAATAAAATTAACGGGCGTGTTCGTTAAAAGCCAATATTGGTCACGTCTCTCCCTTGATCATACGTTCCTGTCTATTTTAATCAATGGTGTGATACCCAGTGCGGGGAATTTTAATAAAAAATGCTTCTCACAAAGATATATTAATGTTGTTTTGTTCGCGACAGGCTGTGCCTCTGAGTAATATTCTGTACCCTTCGTTATTGATGAACAGGCAATGGCGATCCTTTGGCCCCGGCCCGACTTCAATGGACGGATCAATACTAAACAAGATCTGTAAATAAGTCACGAAGCTCTGATTTGGTTTGCAAATCCTTCTTCCTACGCAATTGGGGCCGTGGATAACGGCCGTCATTTTCATTGAAAGCCACATAATGGAAAGTATTAGCAAATTGTATGCAAAATAGTGAGACGTTGCTTTAGAATTATAAGACGAATGGTTTGGAAGAGTTTGCAATTGAATATTTGAAGATAAAACTTTTTTATGTACACGAAAACTGAGTTACATTAAGTTTTGGTCTAATTAGAAGTTTTATAGTATATTGGTCATATCTATAAGTCCAAGTGAATGCATAAGTACGAACATGATTTATACAAATGTCGAAATTTATGTGAAATCGGAAGTTATTAAGATCATGCAGTGCGCAATGTGGTCGCATGTTAGGCAGGTATGCGGTGTGCCGTCTTTTGAAGCGCGTCATGTTCGGAGATGTCGCCGGAATACCTGCTGCTCATAAATATTCGTTAAGTTCCTCGAGTGTTTTGAACGGTCAAGTTCGGAGGCAAGACATGCAAATTATTAGCTCTTGTAAATGTATACGCACGGCACCTCCCAAGAACCCTAACCTGTCTGAGCTTAGAGTTTCCTTCCACCTTGTTTACGCAAGTTAACGTAACATAGGATAAACTATTTACGTTAGCTCGGGAGGTGGCGTTGGCGATGATTCTACGTGTAAATATTGTAATTAATGAGTTCATTAATGAGAATTCTGTGCTCTAGGGTTACCGCCACGTGCATACATCACGGCCTCCTTAACTACGTGCCAAGGAAGGCCCTCTGCAAAAGATTTACTGGACCCGTGAAAGTCTATCCCGCATCCCCCACCCCTCGCCCCGCCGTTCCCTTCCACGGCCTCCGTAACTTCTGCCCCTTGCAATACACTTTGACTTAACACTTCGAGGAGGCAGCGAGGAGCGAGCGGGTACAGACTTTGCTAAGAACATGCGGCCGTGCACTGAACGTCTTGAGAAGGTCTACAGCTTTTCCTGTGTCCCTTTCATTCATTTGGGTTTCTTAAAGCTGCATTCTGTCACGACTTGCTGCGAACATTTATATTAGGGTTGTATCGCTTTTGTTACATTGAATATATGTATTCAAATAATTCATTCTGTTTTGAAAAAAATGACTGAAGGTCGGAATAGAGAATCAAACAAAAAGTAGACATAATGTAGACCAATGGACCGAGGAAGTAAATAGGAAACAACGTATCTGAAGTTTGTTGATAATTATTTCCCGCAAAATTCTACATGTAAATGAAAAAGAATTGAAGGTAAGACTTAACGAACTGAGAGAAAATCGAATGGAAAATTTTATTATGATGTGATTTGGCAGCGCCTTTGACGCTATCAAATGATAATTTGTAAAGTTGATATGTTGTAAAGTAACTTTTGCTATCAATGGCAATATACTTTTAAAAAATATAGTTGTGTTCATTGCAACTTGGAAGAGATCTGCTCACTCATTCAGATATAACATTTTTGAAAGGTGATCAATTTTCTGTAAAAAATACAGTGTTTATATATTTAACAAGAAAAAGGTTTTTTACATTTCTTCGACCATAAAAGTTGACAAAGACGTCTGTTTTCTGGGCGAATATTTTCTTTTCAGGGAGAACATGTTAAATATGGATCAACGGAATAAAGGTTGGGAAAATATTAGAATACTTTGGTTCTATTTCAGATACCTACTATATTTTAAGTGGAATATTTGAATAATATACATTGAATCTAAAATCAACATATTCAAATCACATCATAATATAATTCCGAAGCCACAGCATTAGAGTATTGAAGTGTTCAATATGTTGTATTGTGTAATTGTAAAACGTAATCAAAATTGTACTTCGAACTAATTATTAGAGTTTTTCAAGAGTTAAAAAAAATCAACTTGTGATAGATAAAACAAAATAACAACGTCGTTCCATTACAGGGGAACTTGCCTAATGAAGTCACCGAATAAGGATCGTCATAAAAACGAATCGTGTTGAATACACACTTACACTTCCAACGAAAACATTCAATTATTCCAAGCCCCACAAACACTAAAAACACTTATTAACGACAACGGCAGGTACCTAAGCAACATATTAATGCCAGCGCAGCTTCCGTCCCATAAAACGTAAGGAGGTGATTTCGGGCGAGGCCACGACACGGCACAGCACTCGGCCACACCTGGTCACGTACGTTGCCACAGCGAGGCGCCCGCCCCGCAGGCGAACCCGCACGCCAGCGCCCGCCGCCCCCTCGCTCCGGCCCTCCGGGTGACGAGGCTCCAATATCAGGATCAGCCAGGCAGTAGCGCGATGCGGCGCGGCGCGGCAGGGCGAGGCAACGGCGGTATGGAAATATTCGGGCGTATATCACGAACTTCTAAAACAAGCGGAGAGGCGGCGCGGCGGGGATATTTAGCGTTATTCAAGTCAATT